CTAACAAACTGCATAACCTAGAAGAAATGGACAACGTTCTAGAAAAATACAACCTTCCAAGACTGACCAAGGAAGAAACACAAAATCTAAACAGACCAATTACCAGCAATGAAATTGAATCAGTAATCAAAAAACTACCCAAAAACAAAACTCCCAGACCAGATGGATTCACCGCTGAATTTTATCAGACATTTAGAGAAGACAGAATACCGATTCTCCTTAGTTTCCAAAAAACAGAAGAAGAGGAATACTTCCAAACTCATTCTATGAAGCCAGCATTACTCTAATACCAAAACCAGGCAAAGACACCAACAAAAAAAGAAAATTACAGACCAATATCCCTGATGAACATAGATGCAAAAATACTCAACAAAATATTACCAAACCACATTAAAAAATACATCAAGAGGATCATACACCATGACCAAGTGGGATTCATCTCAGGGATGCAAGGATGTTACAACATTCGAAAATCCATCAACATCATCCACCACATCAACAAAAAGAAGGACAAAAACCACATGATCATCTCCATAGATGCTGAAAAAGCATTCGACAAATTCAACATCCATTCATGATTAAACACTCAACAAATTGGGTAAAGAGGGCAAGTACCTCAACATAATAAGGGCCATATATGGCAAACCCACAGCCAACATCATACTTAACAGCGAGAAGCTGAAAGCTTTTCACCTAAGATTGGGAACAAGGCAGGGATGCCCACTCTCCCCACTTTTATTCAACATAGTAAGGGAGGTCCTGGCCACGGCAATCAGACAACACAAAGAAATAAAAGGCATCCAGATTGGTAAAGAAGAAGTCAAAGTGTCACTATTTGCAGATGACATGATATTGTACATAAAAAACCCTTAAAAGTCTACTCCAAAACTACTAGATCTAATATCTGAATGCAGCAAAGCTGCAGGATACAAAATTAATACGCAGAAATCTGCAGCATTCCCATACACTAACAATGCACTAGCAGAGAGAGAAATCAGGAAAACAATTCCATTCACAGTTGCATCAAAAAGAATAAAATACTTAGGACTAAACCTAACCAAGGAAGTAAAAGACCTATACCTTGAAAACTACAAGATAGTCTTAAGAGAAATTAAAGAGGACACTAACAAATGGAAATTCATCCTGTGCTCTTGGTAGGAAGAATTAATATTGTCAGAATGGCCATCCTGCCTAAAGCAATCTACAGATTCAATGCAATCCCTATCAAAATACTGACAGCATTCATCAAGGAATTGGAACACATAGTTCTAAAATTCATATGGAACCACAAAAGACCCCGAATAGTGAAAGCAATCCTGAGAAGGAAAAATAAAGCAGGGGGGGTCTTGTTTCCCAACTTCAAGCTCTACTACAAAGCCACAGTAATCAAGACAATTTGGTACTGGCACAAGAACAGACCCACAGACCAGTGGAACAGAGAGAGCCCTGATACAAACCCAAGCATATATGGTCAATTAATATATGATAAAGGAACCATGGATATACAATGGGGAAATGACAGCCTCTTCAACAGCTGGTGTTGGCAAAACTGGACAGCTACATGCAAGAGAATGAAACTGGATCACTGTCTAACCCCATACAGAAAGGGAAACTCAAAATGGATCAAAGACCTGAATGTAAGTCATGAAACCGTAAAACTCTTAGAAAAAAACAGGCAAAAATCTCCTGGACATAAACATGAGCAACTTCTTCATGAACATATTTCCCCAGGCTAGGCAAACAAAAGCAAAAATGAACAAGTGGAACTATATCAAGCTGAAAAGCTTCTGTACAGCAAAGGACACCATCCATAGAACAAACTGGCATCGTACAGTATGGGAGATTATATTCATAAATGACATATCCAATAAAGGGTTGACATCCAAAATGTATAAAGAGCTCATGCACCTCAACAAACAAAAAGCAAATAATCCAATTAAAAAATGGGCAGAGGATCTGAACAGACAGTTCTCCAAAGAAGAAATTCAGATGGCCAACAGACACATGAAAAGGTGCTCCACATCGCTAGTTATCAGAGAAATGCAAATTAAAACCACAACGATATCACCTCACTCCAGTTAGAATGGCCACCATCCAAAAGACAAACAACAACAAATGCTCGTGAGGATGTAGAGAAAGGGGAACCCTCCTACACTGCTGGTGGGAATGTAAATTAGTTCAACCATTGTGGAAAGCAGTATGGAGGTAATTCAAAAAACTCAAAATAGAAATACCATTTGACCCAGGAATTCCACTCCCAGGAATCTACCCTAAGAATGTAGGAGCCCAGTTTGAGAAAGACACATGCACCCCTATGTTTATCACAGCACTATTTACAATAGCCAAGAAATGGAAGCACCTAAGTGTCCATCAGTAGATGAATGGATAAAGAAGATGTGGTACATATACACAATGGAATATTATTCAGCCATAAGAAGAAAGCAAATCCTACCATTTGCAACAACATGGATGGAGCTAGAGGGGATTATGCTCAGTGAAATAAGCCAGGCAGAGAAAGACAAGTAAGAAATGATTTCACTCATCTGTGGAGTATAAGAACAAAGAAAAAACTGAAGGAACAAAACAGCAACAGACTCACAGAACCCAAGAATGGACTAACAGTTACCAAAAGGAAAGGGATTGCGGAGGATGGGTGGGAAGGGACGGATAAGGGGGAAAAGAGGGCATTATGATTAGCACACATAAGGTGGTGGTGGTTGGGGCACGGGGAAGGCGGTACAACACAGAGAGGTAGTGATTCTATAGCATCTTACTACGCTGATGGACAGTGACTGTAATGGGGTATGTGGTGGGGACTTGATAATGAGGGGTGTCTAGTAAACACAATGTTGATCATGTAATTGTACATTAAGGATACCAAAATTAAAACAAAAAAAAAGCAGACAGGCAGAGAGAGAAAAAAGATCACGTATGAAGGAAAACCCATCAGGCTATCATCAGACTTCTCAACAGCAACCTTACAAGCCAGCAGGGAGTGGCATGACATATTTAATGCAACAAAACAGAAGGGCCTCCCACCAAGAATGCTCTATCTGGAAAGATTATCATTTAAATTTGAAGAAGGGAGTAAACAATTTCCAGATAAGCAAAAGTTGAGAGAATTTACCTCCCACAAACCAACTCTACAATGTATTTTGGGGGGACTGCTATAGATGGAAATGTTCCTAAGGCTAAACAGCTGTCACAGTAAAGAAAGCATACCAGTTAATTACTAAGCAAATGCAAACTTAAATCAACTACCCCCAAAGTCAGTCAAGGGTTAGACAAAGTGTACAGAATATGATACGTAATATATAAAGAATGGAGGGGGTACAAAAAACAAAAAAAATCTTTAGATTATGTTTGTAATAGTGTACTGAGTTAAGTTAGATTTTTAGATAGTAAATAAGTTACCCTTTAATCTTTGGTAACCATGAAATCTAAAGCCTGTAATGGCAATAAGTACATATCTATCAATAATCACCCTAAATGATCATTTTATATTTCCTTAAAATGTGCGTGACATAGTGACACACAAACTACTTTTTCAATGCACATCATCTACCAACATCCTGAAAAGGGAGGAAAGGTGATAACAAATACTCTGTTTGTGACCAAAAAGAGAGAGACTGATTTTATTTTAAATAAATCTAGGAAATGACTTGACTCTCTAATATTAAGCCAACACTGCAATTCCCAGGGCCCACAGAGAACTGTTGTGCTACATCTACTCATTTGAAAACTCACTTTTGTAATAGAGAAGCCAGAGAAGCTGAACGAGGAGCTGGCCACGAACAGAGGTATGTCCGAGGAGACACGCCCTGGAAATACTCTTTAAACTTCTAAAGCAAATAAAAAAATAGAGTTTCCAACTTGGGAAAACCTAAGGTCTCTATTTTCAACTCTTAATGTAAGATATACTTTATAGGAGTTCACTGCTCACATCCAGATCCTCCCATTTAAACTCTTAAATTCAGAACTATTTCCTGTACCCTCACTGTCACTGCTACTCCAGAAATTCCCACCCAACTTTTCTGACTCAGGGTCTCCAAGGTGTTGAGAAACTATTTACTTTCTAATCAAGATCTTTCCTCTTAAAGGCACATAGGACACAAGTGGGAAGGAAGGAAATCTCAAAGAGGAAACAAAAAACGAAAGATCTGAAATAGCTGTGTTCCAAATTTCTCTCAAACAACACTATTCGCTATTCCAATCACACGATGAATTTTCCGATGCTTCTAAACAGCATCCCATGTCACCAGGAGGAACCACCTGGCAATCTGCGCCCAGGACCAAACCGTGAAGCCTTGGGAGACTGGTATAAAATACTCCTTCCAGATTATCTCAAATATGCAGCGCTGGCCAGTGTGGCACCAGAGGCACAAAGACCGAGCAGCTGCTCCATCCCTGACTCCAAAAGAGCCAAAGGGGTGCAGAACTGGGGGTACGTAGCTCTGCCACCGGCTCCGTGATCGCTCGAGAGGCGAGAGGGAGCCAAGAGGGAGGCACAAGGTCCCAGGCATGGGACGCCACCCCAGGGGTCTCCGAGCAGAAGGGCTGTGCCAACTGCTGCTTCTACATTGGCATTAAGGGTGAATTCTTACCAATTTGTTTAATCTGTCACCACGTGGCGCTAAAACTCACTCTACACACCTTAAGGCCTCGGGACCAAGAAGCTGTGCTAAACGGTGTAAGACACTAACGGAAGGGCCTCGCCCGAGGCGCTCTACCGGACGCTCTGCTTTGTCCTTTAAGGACCACAGAGGCTAGGTTCTTGCTTGCGGACTTCGCCCCTCCCGGGGCGGGTCTCTCCTCGCCTGGTCCTGAAGCGACACGGTGACCCGAAGCTGCGGGTGAGCAAGGACGACTGGGCAGCGGGCTCGGCCGAACAAGCGCAGGGCCTGGGGCCCGAGCTGCGGAACGGGGTGCAGGAAGGGCCCGGCTGGCCCGCCACTCCCGAGTGCGCCCGCCGGCCGGCTCCGACGCCCCTGGGCACCCACCTTGGCGCGCTTTCATCAGCAGCTTGTTGGCCGCTCGGTTCTCCAGCTCAACGGCCCGCCGTCGCCGCCGCCGCGCCCGGGCGCCTCTAACCCGCGGCGGAGGCGGAGGGCAGCTGCCGCTGTCTCTACCGCGCACCGCTCGCCCGACGCCACCCGCGCGTCGGGCCCCACACAGGGCCCGGGGAGCCGCGCCGTCGCCGCCCCTCTTGCTGCCGCTGCGGTCGCCGCCGCTGCCACGGTCACCACCCGCTCCGGCGCCGGCCCGGAGACACCGCGCCTTCGAGGCCCGGGGCTCCAGTGGGGGAGGGGGAGGGGGAGCCCGACAGCCGCGGGCGTCTGCGGTGAGCACCGCCTCGTCGAGGCCCGGACCCTCCGCCCCGCCGTCCAGGCCTGGCGCGCGCAGCTGTCCTCAGGGCCCGGCTCCGGGGCCGACCCAGGCCTCCGCCAAGCCCACCCTAGGGAGCGGCCCGCTGGAGGGCCGCCGCCGCCGCCTACTCGTCCCGCGGCCGGCTGCGCTAAGGGCCCACCAGGCGAGGCGCCCGGGCGCTCCTCCCGCCGCTGCGTCCTGAGGCGGCCGCGGCGCCCCGCCGGGCACTACAGCTCCCGGCAGGCCGCGCGCAGGAGGAACCGGGAGCTGGAGCCCCACGGGCGCGCGGACTGAGTCGAGCGCGACGACACGTCAGCGGGAGTGCACGCTTCACGTCGGCGGAAGTGCGCGCTCCTCGCGGGCCCGGTACGTCGGCGGAAGTGCGCGCTCCTCGCGGGCCCGGGTAGAGAAGCGCAGCGGCGGTTCGCGTCCGCGCACGTGCTTCCCGAAGGGGCCCGTTCTCGAGCCGGCTGTCGCGCCCGCCGCTCGGTCTCCTCTCTCTCCGGGGCCGCGGGGAGCCGGGCGCCTGGCGGTGCGGTGCGGCGCGGGGCCATGGGCAAGGCCAGGTCGGCCGGGCCGCGCCGGAAGGCCCCCGGGGCCCCGGCTGTGTCGCGCGGCGGCCGTGCGAGGCCCAACCCCAACCCGTTCGAGGTGAAAGTCAACAGGCAGAAGTTCCATGTCCTGGGCAGGAAGACGCGCCACGACGTGGGGCTACCCGGGGTGTCGCGCGCGCGGGCCCTCCAGAAGGTAAGCCGGGCGCCGCCCGCCGCGGGCCCCCTGAGCCCCGCTCGGGCCTGGCCGACCGCTTCGGCGCAGCACGGACTCGGGAGCCTGACTGCCTGGATTCGGGCCGCACCCTGGCGAGCCGGGGGGCCAGGGGGAGGCCCTAGGGCTGTTGGGAGAATCGAACCCGTTCACCCAGGTCCTTAGGACAGCGCCGGCTCGGCGCGCGTCCGTTAGACCTGCGCCATGCTCCGCGTCCCTGGAAAGGCCTGTCCCTCCGAAACCCCGCACACGAGTGTCTCCCTGGGACGACTCCGCCCCCCTCGGCAGAGCTGCCGGGGCTCCGATACGGAACTGCCACCGTGCTTCTGCGAGACGCTGAGCACTGCTGGTCTAGGGACGTGGGTCTTCTGGATGGGATGGTGGATTACATAGGATGCTCAGTAGATGTGTGAAGAATAAGTGTGTCTTTCCTTTGAAGCACATGACCTGCCCCCTTGCAGGGTAACGAAATGCCCCCTTCTCTAGAGAGTCTCAGAGCTTCCATCTTTCCTGTACTTAAGGTCCCAGAGTATTCTGTACTTTTCAAATTAAGTTCAAATGGCATTCAATATGCAGCTTCCGAGACATGTTAATTGGTTTGTTCAACAATATTTATTGTTACTTTGAGGAAAGTATATTAGTAGGATGGTGAAAAATTAAGGTACAGGAAGGAAAGTAAATTTCCTATGGTCACACAACTAACAAGGGCTGGGGACTTGCACTGGATTTGAATGTCTGCAAAGCTTTTATGGTCTGCTTAGAGCATACGTTTAAACTCTGTTCTAGGTGCTGGGGAGATAAAGGTAAATTTAGCTTTAGCCCCTGCCTTCCAGGGCTCATAAGCTATATTGTCACACAGAGCGCAATTCAATTGCTCTTTACGTGGCGTAGAGACAGCAGTGTGTATAGCAGACCAGACAAGCTTACAAATGACTACAGGGTGTCCCGTAATGTGGGCTCTGGAGTAGACACGTTTGTCTTCACTTCTTAAGCCTCAGTTTTCTCATTCCTGAAGTGGGGACAGTAACACACACCCTGTCCCTCATGGTGATTGTGAGGATTCAGTGCAATAGCACATCTGGTGCATAGTGAGCGTTTTCTAAATTCTAGCTCTTCTCCAGCTTGTCATCCTCAGACTCTCACAATCTGGCCCCAACCTGTTGTCCTTCGTCTCTTGTTTAGTCCAAAAAGGCATCTTACCCCCGATCTCTCAGGGGCCAGCCCAGCTGCTTCTGACGCTTTCTCAGACCAGCAGCCCAGATAAGGCAGGTGGCTCCTGCTTCCAGCCTCTGACAGGTCCACTTGCTGCTGCGCTAAAGGCCTGGGGTGAATAATGGGGGGGAGGGGGGAAGGGTGGGCAGGTGCTGCTTCCTCTAAATCCCCAGGGCTTGGCCCAGAGTAGAAAATCAAGTATTTGAAGGAATCAGACGTGGGACCCCAGTGCTGGGGACCACCTCGCAGTCAGGAGATGTGATGGCAACGTCAGAAAATTCTTCATAGAAGGAGTCACACTCAAGCGCAGGAGGGTGAGCAGGATGGTCAGAGGTGGGGACAAAGGCACACTGTCCGGTGTAGTGGGGGATGGGGCACAGTGCAGTGTCGAGAGCTCAGCTCCCTTGAGGGAACACAGGCCATGTGGTTGAGATAAAGCATGGTGGGTGTCTAGGGACACATGAGGTTGGCAAGGTGGGATCTGACAGTCCCTCAGAAGTGGGCTGTCCTTTATGTCTTCTCTTCTCCAGGCGGGGGCAGCACTGTCGGGGGGTGCTGCCTGAACATACAGCCAGGGTGGGCTCTGTGTTGAGACTGCAGGTGCCAGCCAGGCCCGCCATCACTTTATAGCTGTGCCTTGGTTTCCTCTCTTCTCACAGAATTTGTAAAATAACGAGAGGTAATGTACCTGTTGATCCTTTACCACCGGACAGGTATTGTGTTAAGTCTACATATAATCTTCTCAGCCTTCTGAGAGCAGTCCTGTTTTATCCCCATTTGAACATGGGGAAACTGAGACAAGGAGCAGTTGTGTGACTTTCTTTTGGTTGGAGGTGGCGTAGCTGAGACCCAAGTGCAGACTGAAGTCACTCCCCAGCTCTATCCTGAGCCGTCCTCTTTGGGCTCCTGTGAGCCCTTTAGCAGTAGCCTGAGGTGCGTCCTACATTCCCTTTTTACAGGTGAGGCCAATGGGGGTTGGAGAGGTTAGGTGTCCCAGAGTTCTAGCTGGGAAGCGGTGGGCTCGTGGGACTCGGGGTCCACACTCGAGTGCATCTTCCAGGCCTCATACACGTATCCATGGACAGCCACCAGAGTGCTGTGAATGTTGACCTGGAGTTACAAATAAATTTTGGCAAATAGACAAATTTGCAAATCTGGAACCCGGGGATAACCAGGATTGGCTGTATGTATATACATATGAACATGTTTGTACGACAAGCAGAGAAGACAGGCGATGCTCCTACAGCCTTTGTGTCCATAACTGGTCATGTTGTAGAGGACATGTGGCTTCCTTTTCAGCCCTTTGTTCCATTTTCCCTGCTTCTCAGCCGGAACCCCGGTCCCCTGGCTTCCTTACTTGATGGCATTCCCTCCGAGTGCTCAGTGGCTCTGCCTTCTCTGTGACCTTTGGCATTGCGGGGGAAGTACACAGCACACCCTGGAGAGCCCGCTCGGCTCCAGACATCATTCTCTCTGCCTCCGTTGTGTGCAGCAAGCCAGTTTCCCCTCAGTAATTTTTGGACTGTAGGTTTCAGTGGCCGAAGGCATACAGAATGGCCAGTTTGCCAGGAACACCCTCTGTCCCCCGTGGGGCGTTTCCCCATTGGGGGTGCAGGTCGTCAAGCCAGCAGCTCAGAGTTGCCGGGACCAGTGTGAGATTCTTTGATGATCTGTTTTTCAGCGCACCCAGACTTTACTAAAGGAATACAAAGAAAGAGATAAGGCCAACGTATTTACTGATAAGCGCTTTGGAGAATATAACAGCGGCATGAGCCCAGAGGAGAAGATGATGAAGAGGTTTGCTCTGGAACAACAGGTATGGCAGAGAGCTGGGGGGTCCCCGTGGAAGTCAGGCTCCAGGAGGAGGGCCTTACGTACCCCTTGCGTAGCTGGCCCAGAGAAGCAGCCCTCTGTAAATACCAGTTGGGTGGGACAGCATCTTGCCCGGAGTGCATGGCCGCGGCGTATCCCCGGGTTGGCCGCACTGCTGCCGTCAGTGAGGCTAGGTGCAGGCACACGGACCGTGGGACACTGCTGGTGGGAAGGCTGTGTGAGGTACCAGCAGCTGAGACTGGCCCATTGCTTCATTCACCTTGTGTGGGTCCTCTTCGTGCTGAATCATTGCTCAAATGACCTGGAATAATCTTAAAGCTGCCCAGGCTACATTGTCACATTGCACGAATGATGGGGAAATAATTGGTTTTTGCTATTCAGTAGATATGGAAACTTCAGGAAGCTGATAACCTTTTCTCTTCTGTCAGCGACAACACGAAAAAAAAAACATCTACAACCTAAATGAAGATGAGGAATTAACTCATTACGGCCAGTCTCTGGCAGACATGGAAAAGCATGATGACGTTGCGGACAGTGATGACGACGCGGGAGGAGGAGCTCTGTCTGGTACAGGCCGGGGGCCGGGCTGCCGTCTGCTCAGTGCCCTTTGTGGAGCCCTAGGGAAATGGTGTTGGGTGGCAGTGTCACTGGTCATTAGCCTTGCAGGAAACTCTACGTGTAACAGGGTTTTTTGTCTAATTTTTTTACTTTTACAACTTTAAGAAGGTACATTTGTGTAGAAAAGACAGATCTACAGACAGGCAGATTTTTGTAGGCTGAGAGAGCAGTTCAGTAGCCCTTCGTTTTATATGAACATCAGCTTGTCTCATTTTACCCACAAGCTCAGAGAAACAAGGCGATTCATCCAACCTGCGAGTCAGAGCTGTGGATAAACGCCTCCCGCCCAAGGCCTGCTGGTTCCCAAGTCAGCTCCTCTCCCAACCCATGCGCTTCGGCTGCCACTGACAGTTCTGACCTAATGTTTGTCCTCACAGTGTTTACACAGTTCTTCTAATCTTTACTAACTATGGAACCAGTTATGACAGTTTTGTGGGAGAATAATAATTGAGCTGCTTATTTATAGATAGTAACAAAGCAGATTAAATTTTACCATTAACTGACCCTAAGTACAACCGAACTGAGTTTGGACTCAGCCCAAATCTGATCATCTTGGATTCTGTATGAAGTGGCGGTCATGTCTGTGTTCCTTACAGTTGGAGTACCCCATTTTCCAGCATAACATCTTCAGAGCAAGACTGCACAAAACTGAAACCGACTCAGAGCTTTGTCTTTGTAGTGTGTGGGAAGCTGAGGCATTAAAATCCGTGACAGCCTTTTTGCTATTTGGGTAATCCTGCGGTGGAAGGTTAGGAACAAGGGGGCCCGCGCCTCTGCTCCTTAGCCCCGGAGGGGGCCTACAGCTACGAGGTCATGGAGGGAATGGCAGTGGTTTGATCTCCTGTGCCTCTCTCTGCACTCTGCATTGTTTCAGACTCTTTGTGCGTGCTTCACTACTGAACGTGTCTACCTGGGGAGTCCCAAGTCCCTGTGGCCGAAGGCGGCGGCCCAGTACCATCATGTCGGTCATGTTGGGGGGCCTGGTCTTTCCTCACCCAGTGAGCAGCCGTGACATTGTCGGGCCGGAAGGCTGTGGTGCTCAGGTGACTAGCGGGCAGCTCCGTCCCACTGCTTCCAGGTGTTGGTCCTGGGGACTCAGCTGTTCACCTGAGATTTCTTATCATCCTTCGGTTCTACGAGCTGATCAAAACCATGTAACTACAAAAGGAAAAGCTCTTACACTTGGCAATAAAAATGAATCATTAGGAAACACACACTGTGTCCACACCACAGTATGTCCTGGATGGAGAATCCCCTCTTCAGGTAGCCTGTGCGGCAGGGGTTGCCCAGTGGCCTGCCGCAGTAGGCCGTGTGAGGGCGGAGGTGGGAGCTTCCCCAAGGCCCTGCCGCCAACCCCAGTCCGTGCCACCCTGGGCTGACACCACGGTGCTGCTCAGTTCACCCCGGGAAAACAAGTCTTTATGGTTCTGTAAGGTAAACTATTTGGGTTTAAAATAGATAAGTACCTAGAAAGCTTTCTTATTCTTATAAAAGCACACTAATGGAAGCTTTAATTTTTTCTTTTTCCAAGAATTCTTTTCTGAATCTTACGTAGTACTGACTTATTAGTTGGCATTTTGTACATTTTTATCCTCAGAAAATACTATGAACAACCTTGATTTGCTACAATACTAAATGAGTCATGTTTTCTGATGTGCTGAATTTTCCAGGAAGCCAAGGAATCATCATTCATTAATTCAGCAAATACTGGCTTATATGCCAGGCTGCTCTTGGGTCTAGGGAAATAGTGAGCAGAGCTGTCCTGCAGTTCAGGAAACACATCACCGAACTGTGCAGACGGATGAAAACCGAAAATGGGGGGTAAAAGTAAGCCAGACGGGCTAGGCCTTGCCACTAGGTAGTGATGGGCCTCGCTAAGAAGGTGGTGGCCATGCAGCCCTGAGCGCTCTTGTTGGGGAAGCAGTCAGGGGCCTCAGGAGGGGCCTGGGATGGGCCAGGACGGCCAGGGGTGAGCGAGGAATGGTGACAGGCAACCGGAGCTACCCAGTCCAACAGGGCAGAGCCAACGGGATGACCTGATGAATTAGATGTCAGGCCTGGGAGAAGAAGAGGAACCCAGGCTGAGGCCCAGGGTTTTGGCCCGAGCAGCTGGAGAGGCGGGATTGCCATTCATCGAGGGCTGGCCCCAGCCAGCTGTGGGGGCCCAGGGGGTGTGGAGCAGGAGGAAGGCCCAGAGCCACTCTGCTTGGCTGGGGTGAGCAAGCTGCCTAGTTTTCTCGGTAAGGGTGGGAGGGGACCAGGAGCTCCTGGTCTGGAGCCGGGTTTTAAATGCAGTGCGTCTTCTTTCCTCCACACACGCTCACCCTCGCAGGTGGGGAGCTTGATTCGACCTAGTGGCAGCGCTAAGGAAGCACCGGTCAAGCAAGAGGGGAGGCCGGCGGGGATTGTGGGACTGCGTCTGGCTGGGCCGAAGGCCTGTAGGAAAGACGCTTACCCATCGTTTCTGTTTGTGCTCCTGGCAGAGGCTTACGGTAAAATCACTTAACATCAAAAGCCTCCATTTTTCTCGTCCAAGAAATTGTTTTTTTTAAAGGTTTCTTTCCATTCCCAGTTCAATGGTTCCCACATTTTGTCCCCTTCCTCTGCCCTGGTGACTCAGGGTGACTGTTGCTGGCTCAGGCTCCTGCCAGCAGGACCTTTCGTCACCAAGTCTCTGCTTGCAGAGTGAGGAACGGGGGCTGAAGAGGCCCGACCATGGACCCTCCGTTCCAGGACTCGGGTTCCAGCTTGTTTTGTGTTTGCTGAGCCTCTGTGAGCCGTGCCTGCAGTTAGCAGATAGGGCCTTGCTGTTTCCAGCCGGCATCTTTGCGTCTGGGTCTTCCTGGCGTGGCTCGCCCTGGGTTTTTCTCAGGTGCCACGGCCTAGTGTGTGCCAGCTTCTGTGTGGAGGGATTTTTTTTGAATGTGGAGTCAGTTCCATATTCAAGGCTGTACTTGGAGAGATGTTTGCAGAGAACGCCGCCTGGGCCAGCGCCTGGGGTCACCCAGCTGCTCTCTGCCTTTTGTCTCCAGCCGAGCTGACTGCGGCCCATTTTGGAGGTGGCGGCGGGATCCTTCACAGGAAGGCCACTGGGCAGCACGGCGAGGAGGGGGAGGAACCCAGGTCGCACCGGGACCTGATCGCAGAGCTCATCGCAGAGTCCCGGCGAGAGAAGGCAAGTCGGGCAGCGTTCTGGACGTGAGGGCTCCCTCGTCCAAGGTGCTCGAAATATTTTTGAGCTTTTCTTCCCTGTACATTTTTAGGGAAATGTATTTAATATTTTCTGTGGATTTAATAAAAGCATTCACTTTGAATAGAAATATTTTAAATTTCATCAGGCAAATACTTTGGATGGCTTGTGGCTTTGGGATTATTTTGGTTGATTTTAGTATTTTGCTATATACGGAATTCGTAAAACATCACTTTTTCACTAACTGAACTGCTCAGAGCGCCTAGGTGATTGACAGCAGGAACTCAGTTCTGTGTGATGACATTTTGTAGCTCTGCCTGTGAGCCCCTGATTCCCATGGTCTCTTTTCTGCCGACGCACTGGGTGTTGACTGAGTGGTGGCCGCCTGTGGCCTGGACACTGACAGCAGGCCGCCTGGGTGGAGTCTAGCGGTAACGGCTGTGCCATGTTTGTTCTTTCCTCAGAGGGTGAGACAGGCTCAGCGAGAAGATGCCCTTGAGCTCACAGAGAAGCTAGACCAGGACTGGAAAGAGATCCAGACTCTCCTGGCGCACAGAACACACACGGCAGAGAGCAGAGACACGCCGGAGAGGCCCAAGGTGCGCGGCGGGCGGCTGAAGCGAGAGCCGCACTCCCGGCCACGAGCGGCCCTTGCTCTGCGGGAGGGCGGACGTCGGGCTGCTCTGCCGGCCTGTCGCCTCTGCGCCAGCAGCTCCCAGTCTCCATTTCTGTTGGGACTTAAATTTTCTGCTGAACTTGTATGTGTTACATCAGGGTGGAAACAGACTCAAAGTTACTTCGATATCTATTCCAGAATAATTAAAGAAAATGGTTGTTTCTTGGTACGAGAAGTACTTCAGGGGGAGGCTTTCAGATGGTGTTTGGGTTTTCCTGTTGTGTCTGCCAAAATGCTGTGTGTTGGCTTGTTTTCCCTCTAAACAGTATTTGGCTCCTACCACGCTTTTAATCTAAATTATTAGAAACATTGCATTCATTTGAGTAGCAGCTTTCTAGGAAATCCTTGGGATTTCGCCAGATCGCCTTGTCGCGTGGCCGTCTGTACATCTTTGTCGCCCTTACCATTGCTGGCCCTTTTATCCAAGTCTTCCATTTTGTGGGCTTCAGACCTAGATGAGCAATGTTAGCTTATAAAGCATATGTATTATGGTAATATCCTATGAGCAAAAAGTCCTCTATGACCTAAACATGTTCTCAAGGCTGATTACAATAGCTTTCTCTCAAGAAGAAAAGATCTGCCCTGTGGCTCAGCTTCTCCCTAATGGTGTCCAGCTATTGCTGGGATGCACAGGAAGCTGGCTGTGCAGATCTTTCCTCTTCAAATGAAAAATTTCTTCTGTCTGCCCTAGCCTGACGCCTATGATGTAATGGTTCGTGAGCTTGGCTTTGAAATGAAGGCGCAACCATCGAACAGAATGAAAACAGAAGAGGAGCTGGCAGAGGAAGCGCAGGAGCGGCTCAAGAGCCTGGAGGTGGGTGACGGGGCCGGTGCTGTGGGCAAAGCTGTGGCCCCCTCGTGTGCGGCCCTGGGGTCGTTCGGTGAGATGGAGGTGTGCTATTTCATCAGTGGAACCTTTAGAGGCTATTTCAAGTTTATGTCCATTTTACTATTATACCTGTTTTCTCATTATAAAAGCAAAAAGAGACAATACACAGATAAAACATGGACATTTCTTCTAATCCCCTACCTCCAAACAAGCACAGCACGGAGCTCCTCGCCTCCGCCAGAGGCTTTCTGGGCTCCATTACATTAAGACAAACGAAATGGAGAAACGCTGTCTACAGCTGGCCTTTTCGGTATGACCACACAGTGGGCCTCGTCCTGTGTCGGTGCAGACTTTTGGGTAAGAAAGCAGTTGAGCTACTTGCCTGAGCACGTGCGGGCCTCAGTGTAAGGGGCCGGTCGGCATGGTTGGACAGACAGGCCTCAGAATAACAGGTTGCCTGCCTTGTGACTAGAGAGTATTTCCGCCCCGATATTTATATTTATCTCTCTTAAGTTGGAAAGTCTTGTGTATGATGCTTACCAGGTGTTTGCTCATTGAGTGGAGACTAGAAGCGGGCTGCAGGCTGCAGGCTCCTCGCAGTCACGGCCGGGCTGCCTGCCTCTCCCGTGTCCGGGGAGCACAGCTCGCAGCTCTCCTTCCCTCCTCCTCAGGCCGAGAGGCTCCGAAGAATGCTTGCAAAGGATGAGGATGGAAACACTAAGAAACCAGAACATACGTCAGCGGATGACTTAAATGATGGCTTCATACTGGATAAAGACGACAGGCGTCTGCTTTCTTACAAAGTAAGGCAGTTACCTTCATCTTTTTTTCAAGAGCACAGTTTCTGGTATTTCTTTCAGTCGACTTATCACTGATGTGATGAAAAGCACAGGTCTTTACAAAGACCCCCTTTCTGTGCTGTTCTTCCTCGGTGTCTGTGTGTCTGAGGTGAGCGCTGGGAGCAGACCGTGACCTCGGTCCCCAGCATCTCCCGGGAACGGGACAGCTTTTGTGGCCAGCTGCTTTTGTTTATAAGTGTGATTAGCAGCATAGCTCAGCGCTGATACAGAAGCAGCCAACTCAAGCTTAGAGTGTGAAACACTGAATAGAACTATTGAGTTTCTAAGATTGGTGCAGTTTTTAATTCATGAACACCAGAAGGTTCCCCCTTTGAAAGTGTATCAGTCAGTTCAGGGCAGGAAAACAGAAGTAGACCATGTGTGAGCAGAAAAGGATCCGAGACAGGAAACCGGCCTCACAAACCACTGGGTTGCTGGGGTGCAGTTGGATCCCCTCCAGGCGTTTAGGTCCCTCCAGGTGCAGCCCAGATGCGGGAAGCCCTGCCGCCTCGGCAGCTGCTGGCGCCTGCAGTCACCCCGGGGAGAGGCTGAGCCCAGCCCAGAGTCCTGGTGGTAGGGGTGTGGGAGACAGGGCTCGGGACAGCATCCCAGGAGGTGAGCGGGGAGGCCTGGCTCCAGTGGACCATCGCAGTGCGTAGGACCTGCTCCCTGCAGACGGGCGGGGTGACGCCTGGGTGCTGCACAGCGCCGCGGTCTGCCCCAGGCAGCAACGCCTCAGGCCCCATGTGCTCCTAGGACGGAAGGGTGAACGCTGAGGAGAGTGGCGAAGCTGGTGCCGGGGAGAGCGAGCAGGAGGAGGGCGACGACTCACGCAAGGAGGACCCCGAGGAGAGCCACTCGGGCCTGGAGTCGGGTGCGGGCAGCGAGGAGAGTGAGAGGCCCAGGGCAGCGCAGCGGCGGGTGCCTGGGGGAAGGCCAGCTAGCAGAGGCGGCCAAAACACTTGGGCAGCCGCCGGCACCGAGCCGACTGACACATGCGCAGGTAGGCAGGCGGGTTTCCTTGCATTTCACAGAGGATAAGCTCCGTGACCTGGTGGCACGTCCGCCTTGAGGGGCTGCGTAGGAATGGGGGACCAAAGGTGCACCTGGATGCATGGACACGTCCCACTGTAAAGTGTGGCCTGCAGGCAGTCACAGCTACCTTTCTGCTCAGGTCCAGGGGCTCTCAGATGGTCACAGCTTCCTTCCTGCTTGCGGTCTGGGACCTCTGCTGTTACCCGGGACCTGGTCCACATGCTGGCCAGAACACTGGCTCATGCTGCATGGCTGCAGGCTGGTCTGCAGGGCCAGCAGTGGGATGAGGGACCCTCACAGTCCCACAGACATGGGCAGGTCCTGGGAGGTTAGAGCCGTGTTCAGGCCTAGGCACTCTTGTTTGGGCACGTGACAGCTCCTATAGAGAGAAGTCCAAGTCTGCTGACTGTTTTGAGTTGCCTGTGACTTACGGAATTTGCAAAGGGTGAACCAGCTAGTGAGGCTGGCTTCCTTGGGAGGGGTTTCCATCAGGGGCAGTCTCAGGTGGGGGCACTGAAACCATGTCACTGCCTTGACTCACCACGTGTTGGGCATTTACGTGACTTTCTGATCAAGAAGAGGCTGGAGGTTGTTTCTTCTGGGAGGCTGTTCTCGAGACCCCATCACCGGTAGCCCGTTTCAGGCAGACCTCACAGGTCACACCAGCACACACTGCACGTATTTACAGTGATTGTAATGTAAGGCAAAGTGAATTATCTCTACAGTAGATCTTCTGTCATATCCCTTTGGTAAAGTAAGAGAAGTAATAGGACCTCAGTTGTATTTAGTGTTTATTCCATGTTATCAGAAGTGGCCGTGAGTCACACGTCAGACAGTAAGTGTGGAGTGTTCTGTATTCCAATAGCTCCCGAGTCCTGTGAGGAACTGAGATCTTTATTATCCGGAAAGTCAGTGGAGGAGCAGCTTTTGGTGGTGGAGAAAATTCAGAAATGCAATCATCCAAGTCTCGCAGCAGGAAACAAAGCAAAATTGGAAGTACGCTGGTGCAAGTGTGTGTGGGGTCTGGGGCGGAGTGGGTGGCCCCTTGCCTGGGCATAGGAACTGCCCAAGGCAGGCAGGATGGGCCTACAGCCACGAGGTGACTGCTGGCTGTGTGCAGAGCAGGTGGAGGACCGAGACGTGACACGCATCACCCTGAGGTCTGCAGCAGGCTTGGGGAGGTGGGACTATGCCCACATTTCACACATGTGAAAACTGAGGCCTGGTGATCTTGCCTCATGTGGCCACCAAGCAGCAAAGCCAGACCTCTAGGACACGGGGAACTGCCAGTGCGCCATTCTTCTTTCAGTAACTGTGTGTATTTACTGAATGAGGTGTGGTCTACGACTGAGGCGCTATTGGCTGTTCCGGGCCCGAGCTGGGCCCGAGCTCTCCCTTTCTCTGCTCCTCCTCGCCTGAAGCAGGGTTCTTTGCCCGAGTACTGTGAGTTGCAGCCCTTGCACCTCGTCTTAGCCGGGGTGTGGGGAGTGCATGTGGAATGCCTGTAAGTTTGTTAGCACTGAGCTCTGTCCCCATTCCATGTTCTTGCAGAAACTGTTTGGCTTCCTTTTGGAATATGTTGGAGATTTGGCTGCAAATGATCCTCCAGACCTCAGAGTCATTGATAAGTTGGTTGTGTAAGTAAAAATGGTGGTTATCTGGAATGTGAGGTTGAGTGGAACAATTTCTATCCTGTTTAGAGGCATAAGAACACATGTTGGAGTTACAGGGTCGACCTTGTAAACAGGCCTCACCACATTCATTGATTTCAACCATGACATCCCCCTTGCTGTTGCCGTCATCTTAGAGGTAGGGCATGTTTTTAACTACAAACAAGTTTACTTTCAGACAGTTGAGCACCTTCAGACTATTCACAGTACAGCTGACCCTTATCATACTACAGCTGGCACATGGGGACCAGGGTGCTGACCTCCAACTCAGTTGAAAATCCCCTTATAATTTTGACTCCCCACAAACAATAGCTACCATTGACTGGAAGCCTTACCGATACTGTGAGCAGTTGGTTAACACGTTATATGCTAAGTGCATTTGTATACTGCATTCTTAGAAGAAAATCAGCTAGAGACAAGAAAGTGTTTTTTCAAATGTTCACAAATCTCCAAAAAATTTTCCAAAATTGAAAAAATTTGAGTTCAAGTGGACCTTGCAGTTCAAACATATGTCATTCAAGGTCAGCTACATTTGATGACTAATTTTCTGTTTCATTCAGTGAAATTCCAAGCTCTACATGGGTGGGCTGAGAGCTGTTAGGAACAAGATTTCAACAGCATTTCATTTTGCTCCGGGACCCCACCCACCTCTAGTTGGGTCCACACGGCAGAGGAAGCGAGCATGGCTGGCCGTCTCAGGGAAGCAGGCCCTTCTTGTGTGCCTGCTCCTGTCCTGTGCAGGGCTGGTTTCTGGGCCTTGCTGCCCTAGGACCTCTGAAAGCAGAGAATCGTGTGTGGGCTTCCATCATGGTGCCACATGGGCTGGGGGGAGGCCTAAGGCAGAGTGTTGGGTTTGTTGAAAGTGTGTGGCCTAGAGGCTGCCCCACGCAACACTCCCAGGAGCCAGCTTCTGCCCTGACTTCTAGGAGTGCTTACAAGAAGTTGTTGCACCCCACGTAAGGTGCCTCAGCATAGTCAGCCACCCTGGGCATGGAAAACATGCCCCCCATGGTCCGTTATTACAAACTGCTCCTCCTGCTACCGCTGCAGAAAAGTTACAACCAGATTTTTAGGGAATGGCAAAAATGGATATAGATTATCGTTAAAAAATATTAGTCAAGTGATGTGGGTCCCCATGAAGGCCTGCCAGATATCAATAAGAAGAAAAGTGGGTTCATAGGGGCTCCCGTTCTGACCTAAGTCAGCAGGTGGCTTCAAGGAAAGCAGTCAGTGTGGGGATTTGGGGTTCTCTGTTTTGTTACCTGATGTTGGCCTTCCCCGTGATGTTTCTGTTGAACAGGCAGCTATATAGTCTTTGCCAGCTATTTCCTGAGTCTGCAAGCAGCTCCCTAAAGTTTGTTCTCCGAGATGCCATGCACGAGATGGAAGGGATGGTTGAGACCAGGGGCCGGGCGGCCTTTCCAGGGCTGGACGTGGTGAGCAGGGGCCAGTTGGATGGGCAGGGCGCCAGTCACGCTGGCAGTCCCGTGCTGGGGTCTCAGCACAGAAGGGCTGATGAGTGAGCACGGGGCAGCTGGCGTGGAAGGTGGGCCGGGGTCCAGATCCTCCGGGGTGGGCTAACAAACCCTGAAAGGATTAGCTACCCATTAACAGTTAACTAATTGTAGTTAATAACAACGAACTTCTGGTGTGATTCTGTATGTGTAGGGCTGCATTCAGTCTTCACAGCAAAGAGATTTTAGAGCCCACGAAACAGCATATATCCCAAAGGACCTGAACCAATGGGCAGTCCGCTCAGTTTCGAGGTCTGTTCATTCACTAGAGACAATGGGATGGCTCTGAGATTTCTAGGTTCTGTAACACCTGTGTCTGTATTGTCAGCTTTTGTGACTTTGAAGAAGTAGTTGCTCAGTTCATTTTCTACTCTTTCTGTTGTAATGAATCAACAGTGATTGGCAGAAATTTAAAAATAAAGGATTTATGTTAATGGTTTTAATAGACTCTCCAGAATAAGACCTGAGCCAGTGTCCGTGAACCACTGCTGGTGACGTTAGGTCTGTGAGCCTCTACCCAACCCCCTCCACATTTTCCTATTTAACCAGTGAGTGGGGGACACCTAGAGCTGTAGTCAAAGAGCCAGTCTCTGCCTCTTTGGAGCCTGTTTCCACTCACGTGTGTTAGAAGGGAGGCTGAGAGGCAGGGGAGGTCAGCGTGCTGCCCAGCCTCCATCTCAGCCCCTGTGCGAGCGTGGCACTGGCCTCCTTCCTGGCTGGTCAGTGGGGGTGGTGATCCAGCACTGCCAGCCCAGTAGGCCTGACAGTGGGTATGAGTTAGTACACAAAATGTGGGTGTTGCTAATTCAGCTCACACTTGTCTTGCTGGCAGGGTGAGGAGCAGTTGGGGGGTGTCTCCCTGCCCCTAGTTTTCTGAGGAGTCTTAACATCAAGGGGTCATGTCGCTGTATCTGTCCATCTGCCCTGGAGCTCTCTGGTTGATACTTGAACCCCTGCCTGAGCAGAGAAGAGGAAATGGGGTCCACTGGGGTGTGCTTGACATTTTCTAGTTCCCATGGGTCCAAGCAATCCAGTTCTGGTGCCCTGGAGAACTTCTTTGTGCCTCTGGACAAAGGGGAGGGGCTGGCGGCCATGCCGAGCCAGGCGCAGGGTGGCCTCTCTGCTGCCATGTGCGCCAGCCTTGGGGCTGTACCTGACCCACCGTGTCCCCGAAAGTAATAGCTTGCTGTCATCATCTAAGACAAAAACGGCACAGTCCTGTTCTTAGATGTCCTCTTGGGAGAGTGTCGTTGAGGTAGCTTCATGTCTCGGTGATGGCGAGGGTCCGTCCCTGGGCCTGGTCTATGAGGCTGCACCCCCCAACACCACACTGGCCTGCGCTGCTGCCTGACAGGAAGTTAGGCTTTAAGAGCTTCTAGAAATGCTTCCTGAGAGATGGGCTATTGCTCAGGACTGAGGCCTGTTGACCAGCTGGAAGGGAGTTCTGGGGCTGCGGGGCCCATTTGTCACGTGACGGGCAGATGGGGCGGCAGCGCCATGGGAGCTGTGTTGAGAAGCCCGTGTCCCACTCACTGCTCCCCAGGGCAGAAGCCCCAGGACAGCAGCTCGGACAGGGCTACGGTCCCCACTCTTTCCAGGTCCGGGCCCCAGAGAAATGTTGCGTGTCCCAGGAGAGTCTGGCTCATGTGGCGCGTGAGGTCGGGGGTGCTGGAGCAGGGGCAGGGACCGCCCCGTGGGCACCGCACGCAGGTGGCTCACCACGCCCACCAGGAGTTTCAGAGTCAGTTTTGCCATGGCCCCTTCATGAAGGCAGGTATTAAACTTCAGTTTACTTCTTTAACCTGTGTAACACCCTCTTTCCAGCTCATTTATTTGAAAATTGCCGGGATGCTGTTTCCAACGTCTGATTTCTGGCACCCCGTTGTGACTCCCGCACTGGTGTGTATGAGCCAGTTACTCACTAAGGTACGTCCTTGCTTCGCATGCAGGTGTGTCAGGACCCACTCCATCCTCGGGGTGTCGTTGAGTAGAGTAAGGGTCCTGCTGGAGGTCGGGCCTAAGGAAAGTGCCCCAGCCTCTGGCACAGAGGGGCCTGTGAGCAAGTCGGGAGCTCTGGGGTCCCTCTCCGAGCACAGCTTCCACAACGCTCGCTGGTTACGGCAGGTGTGTGACCCCAGACACCACCAGTCCAGTTAGCGGTGAAGACATCAAGCCTGATGTGGAGCTCTGTCCCCTTTTGGTTTAAGACAGTCCAAAGAGCCCCTTTCCCTTGATGAGGTGTATGATTGGCGCTCACCTACTGCAGTGGCTGCAGTGTGCCTCGTTCTGCTCCAAACAGAAGGCGCTGCCTGGTTGAATCTTGCTGCTCAGCACTGCTGTGGGGTAGAGCCACCATCTGCCAGAAGCGGGGGCATGTTCTGGCCTCATCACTGCTGGCGGGTGACTGCTCCTGTCCCTCTCTCAGTGCCCCATCCTGTCTCTGCAAGACGTGGTGAAGGGCTTGTTCGTGGGCTGCCTGTTCCTCGACTACGTGGCCCTGTCTCAGCGGTTTGTACCTGAGCTTGTCAACTTTCTCCTTGGGATTCTTCACATGGCATTGCCACACAGGCAGAGCCGAGGTGAGTCGATTTGGGGGCACTTCTTCCCTTCTAAACATGATGCGTCCTCGTATAAGGTTGGAATGTGGAAAAACAGAAAGAAGGCAAAAACCTCCGAGGCCCTGCTGTCCAGAGCAGGGTCCTTCCTGGCCTGTGTGCGCGCATGTGCACACCCCCGCTTTGGAAAAGAAGCAGTCCTGCTTTTCCTTGCTACAGAGCAGCCGGTGGCCACATGAGGTGAGAGAACGAGGCCTCCCCAGATCCACAACAAAAATATATAAAGTACCTGTTTTCTATAGTGATCGTGTGTTGAAACAATAGTTTCGTTTTTGGCTAAATAAAGTGCATCAGTAAGATTTCTCTTTCTTTTTTGCTTTTTTAAATGTGGCCTCAGACACACTCTCAGCCCCCTTGGGGGCTGCCGTAGGTCCCCACGGCCAGGCCATGTTCTGCCGGGGAGAGAGCACGATCCGAGGAGGAGGTTCCAGCGCCCCTGCCCTTCCTCGCCTAGCTCCCCTCCATCCCCGCGGGCCGCCCCTTCTACACTCTCCCTGCCCCACTCTGCTCCCGGCCAGCATCCTTGCAAAGTCGCCTGGGCTTCATCCTGTCACCTTCACCTTTCCCAGCCTGATCACAGGTCGTTTCTCAAGGACAGGCCCCAGACCCAATGCCAGCATGTCTGCACAGGGCGCCTCTCCGCTACCAGGCCAGGGCCGTTCTCTGACACTAAGGACTGCAGCTGGTGCTGCCGGTGGTCCCTCCCGTTCAGCTCCTTGTGCCCTCGCCGTGAGCTCCGGTGTGCCACGTGTGCAGTTGCACAGCCCTGCCCAGTGGGCTGGCCAAAAGTGCTCACGGTCAGACTCCAGGAGAGTGCGCTGAGCCCCAAGGGTGGTTGGGGTGGCTGTCAACCTGCTTGCCCCTCTCCCTCTGCCCAGCCACCGCCGACTGCTGGGCCTGGGCCACACCAGGCCTCTGCCCGCCCAGACAGGCCATTCCTGCTGCCTCTGCTGCTCTTCTGGGTGATGGGTTGAGTCCCTACACCTGCCAGGTCTTGGAGGGCAGTCACCCTCTGGGACAGGCTTTCCCGACCTGGCCAGCTGGGCGCTCCCACCCCCCCAGCACCCCCAGCCGACCCCCCCGGTCCCCGCTTCGCCACATCCCGCTGTTGTTTCTTTCTGATGTTCAGCCTCCTTCATGTCATGTCTGATGGGTGGTAGTTCTTGCCTGTCTCTCCGTGAGGGCAGGGGCGTGGCCTATCCTACTCGGAGAAGGCGGACACCCCATCTCTGTTCGTGAAAAGTGAACTTTCTAAAGGCTCCCCTGTAGAGCCTGCCCTCTGAGCCCCATAATGCTCAGAAGCCATCTCTCTCCCTGTCCCATCTGAAATTCAGGTTACATACTGGTGCATCCTTTCCGAGCACATGGGAAGAACTCGACGTTGCTCGTGGTTTCTGACGACAAGGACATGGCCACTTGGCAGGGCAAAAGTCTCTCCCTCTCCTGGGCAGGTGGACTGAAAGCCCAGACCACGACGGAGGCCAACCACACCAGGTACACGCAGGGCCCGGCGGTGGGCAGCGGCAGGCTTTGTCTCACAGCCACCCGACTCCTCACTGCCAAGCAGGGAGCCAGACGCATCACAGGACACACATCACAGGTGTGACCATGGCTCCTCAGTGGGCACGGGACAGGATGCACCGCAGAGCAGTGAGAGCTGACAAACACACTCAGAGGAGCAGGACAAAATCCGCATACAATGGGCTGCATCTCCACTCAGGAGAGGAGAAATTAACCAAAGAGGTGAAAGGCTTGTACAAGGAAAACTGTAGCAGTGCAGAAAGAAATTAAAGGCATGAATAAATGGAAACATCCTGCGCTCATGGGGTTGGGATCTCCGCCACACCCCATCCCACACGCGTTCGGGTGGTGGGAGGAGTGGAGCAGTAGGCTGGCTGAGCTTTTTGTCATGAGTCCTAGTTCTGTTCTCTCACTTTTTTGAATTATAGATTACTTGGATATACGTATTATAAGTTTGTGTGTGTGTGTTCTAAAATACACCTAACAGAATATGCCACCTTAGCCATGTCTAAGCGCAGCAGCCAGGTGCGTCCAGCAATTGGCATTGCTGTGCAGCTGCCCTTGCCCGCCCCCAGGATGTGCCCATCCCGTGGATCTGACCCTGCACCGTCACATCTCTCCGCCTCCCTGGTCCCCAGCCCCCACCATCCGACTCTGTCTCTGGATTGGACCCCTCCATGGGCCTCATATAAGGGGAATTGTACAGTGTCTTTGTGACTAGCTTAATTCACTAAACATCATACCCTACAGCTGTACTGGTGGTGTAACATGACTCTGAATTTCCTTCCATCCTTTCCCCAGCTGTATAATATTCCACGTATGTATAGACGGCCCTGTGCCCATTCACTCGTCCACCAATGGACAGTGGGCTGCTTCCACATCTCAGCTATGGTGACTTATGCTGCTCTGGACGTACGTGCACAAGTCTGTCTGAGACCCTGCTTTCAATTCTTTGGGATGTACACCCAGATGTGGGGTTGCTGGATAGCATGGCAGTTCTGTGGAGTTTTCTGAGGACCCTTGGCTCTGTCTCTGCAGTGGCTTTACTGTTTTTATGTTCCCACTGAGCTGTGCCCAGGTTCCAGATTCTCTAACCTCTTTTCCTGCTTTTTTCGGTACTAGCGATCCTCACGGGTGTGAGTCAGGTGAGCTCTCCCAGGGCCCCGACAGGCACTTCCCTGGTGGTGGTCAACATCATGGTGCTGCTGCCTGCACACATTCTTGAGAGAAGTGTCTGTTCACGTCTTGATGGCCATTTTTCTCCATGAAAAAAACTTTCCCAAAATACATGTATTATTTTCAAAATTTTTGATTTTGCAAATAGTAATATAAAATGGAGCTATTCTTTTTCAGCTATTAATCACACTTTCTGCAGTTCGCCTTCCTGTTCAGGAGGTGGTGGTGGTCGCTGTAAGGCCGAGCACTGAGCTGTCACTGCGCCGACTCGGCCCTGAGCAGACAGTCGCCTCTGTCTGTTGCGGCCAACGTTGGGTTTTTCAGAGTTATATGTTGGAGATTTTAATTTTTGCCAAGACTACTGACGCTGGTGACTGAAGTAGAGTGAGCTGCCCTCTGCTTTGCCTCGTGCCCTGAGGCTGGGTCTTGGTCGCCCCTTGCAGACTGTCCTGCCTGGCCGTGTGTCTGGCTCTGGTGAAGCGCTGTGTGCTCCTGTATGGCCCTCTGCCGTCCTTCCACGACATCATGAAGCCCCTCAAAGCCCTCCTGATGGAGCACCTGGCCGAATGCCATCACCCCCCGGAGCTCCAGGTGAGGCTTCCTGGCCACAAGGGTCTTCTGCCCTGGCTGGGCTGTTTCTATGAGTGGAGAGCAGGTTGGTGGGTGTTTTTGTCATTAAGGTTGCTGCCCAAGAAGTTCAGGACACCATCTTTGGAAAATACAAACACAAATGGGAAAATGAGAACAGTGGGGAAATAGATGGGAAAGACCTGTGTACTGCTGGGTGGTCTGGATCTGGGATTTTATCCAGGAGCCGTGTGCTCCCTTCAGCCTTCACACTGCCCACCAAGGGTTAGATACCAGCTGGGGAGAGGGGGGGCCCTGTTCAAGGCAGCAGGAAGCCACAAAGGATGCCTCGTTCTGACCTGGAAGCCCCACGGACGTCAGCTCACCCTCATCTCGCCCTGAGGCCCACTCCCACCGCCCCGTGCGCTCCCTGCCCCCATCTTGGCACCTGGTCACCCCAAAGTCCCGCACCAGTCCTGGGATTGTTAGGGGCCATCCTGCATTCTCAGTGGGTCCCGTCAGAGCAGAAGGCAGTTAGGACCACAAAGCCAGGGCAATCTGAACCGCAGCGGTCTGACGTGTCTGACCTCATTCAGGGGTCTTCACACTAGCCCGTCCCTCTGCCTGAAGCACTCCGTACAGCCACTTAGCTCGTCTCCTGGCTTCCTGCCTGTGAAGAAGTGGCATCCCCCACATGGGACCTCCCAGGCATGTTGCACCGTCACGTCTCTGCCCCGCAAGGACGTGGGCTGCATGAGCCCAGCCCCTCCACTGTGGCCCCAATGTGTCCCTGGGGCCAGGGCAGACTAGCCATGGTCCACACCAGGTCATGTTACTTGCTTCAGAAAAGTGGTGAGGCTCAGGTGTCAGCCCCTGCCTCTAACCTGAAGCTTACTGGACAGACTGGCTCTCTGGTCCTGTGGGATTCGGCTGGCCAAGAGGCCACAATGGAGTTCACAGACTCAGTGGGCTGAGCTGGTCATGCCTGCGTGTAGTCCCGTGGACAGGGAGCAAGGGCTGGCTTTGCCCACAGTGCAGGAAGCCTAGTCCCGGAACACACCTGTACTAGGGAAAGAAATAGAACCAGCTTCTGGAAGTTCCTCAGAAGCTCCAGCCAACTCTCGTGGAAGCCAAGGCCATGATGGAGGTGGCTGACCGCCTGGTTCCATTGCAATGAAAGGAAGGAGCCACAGAGCCCAGTAGAAACTTAGCCCTGCTGAGCGCCCCATTGTGTGGTTCCACTGGCTGCCCCTGCACCCTGCCCTCCCCGTGCAAGGGAAGGCTCTTCCGCGTGTGGCCATAAAGGGTGGGTCACTGATGCCCATTGGGACAGTTGTCTCTGGGAAAGAGGATTCCATCCTGTTTGCTAGAATCTAGAAGCACAATCTGCCCTATGTCCAAGTTCCTAAACAATATCCTTTAGGTGGCCTTGGGTCTCCAGTCCTGCCAAGCCCGGCACTGTGAGGTGGGCAGGAGCTGCCTCAGTTCCCCTCCCCCATCATCACAGCCCAGCCACGTCTGTGAGCCCAGCCTCATACCTGCACCCCATTAGTTAGCACATGAAGCCATGGGTCCAGAGAGGGGAGTGACCATGGAGGGTTTGGGGGAAGTGGGGTCTCACTGCCATGCTCCATCCCCCTTCCTCCCAGAGGCCTGTTGGGCAGCTCGTGAAGCCACAGGGTGGCAGGACTGTGTGCATCAGCTTTGCTCATGTATTCCAGGAGATGATTAAAAGCATAGTGACAGCAATGGAGGCCCAGAGGAAGCACTATCAGCCGCTGGTCTGTGAGAAGAGCAAGCCTGTGCCGCTGAAGCTGTTCACCCCCCGGCTGGTCAAAGTGTGAGTAGCAGCAGCTCCTCCAAAAGCACCCCCATTCTGGAGAGAGCCCCCTCTTCTGGGGCCAGGACAGATGAGGGGTGGCCAGCCGTGATGCAAGGACTGGCAGAACCCGGGAGATGCCGCGCGGGAGCAGGCTGTACTGGGGTGGGGCCCCTGAGACTCGGGCCCCCTTAACGTTGGCCTTCCACCATTAGCCTCGAGTTTGGAAGAAAACAGGGCAGCAGCAGAGAGGAACAGGAAAGGAAAAGACTGATCCACAAGCACAAGCGAGAATTCAAAGGGGCCGTCCGGGAGATCCGCAAGGACAACCAGTTCCTGGCCCGGATGCAGCTCTCCGAGCTCATGGAGCGGTGAGAGGGCCGCAGGCCGCCCTGGGTCCAGCCTTCACACTGCTCTCAGCGGCCTGGGCACAGCCCCGCGACCGGGCTCCCCGTGCCTCCCGCCGCTCCTCCGTCGGCTGTCCTGGTCTCGGGTTGCGGGCCCACGTGGCTCTGAACTGCTCCCGGGTCTTGGATGGAGAAGGTAAGACGGCCTCCAAAAACAGATGCAAAGATGGTTTTCTTGTTTTCTTCAAAGGGATGCGGAAAGAAAGCGAAAAGTGAAGCAGCTTTTTAACAGCCTGGCTACACAGGAGGGTGAATGGAAAGCTCTGAAGAGGAAAAAGTTCAAAAAATAAAGTATGTTTTTAAGTTAGGCAAGGATTGTACATGGGAAGTAATAAGAGGCTGCGATGTCACGTGCTTCTGCTTTTCTGTACTTCAGCTCCTGTTAGGACATCGACGAGGCGCACGTTTGGAACTAGGAGCATTTCTCCACAAGAGCTGCGTGTAACGAACTGTAAACAACCTTCACTTCATCATTTCCAGACAAACCTCAGTTCATCACAAGGTTTGGGACTGGGTTTGTGGCCAGCGCCGTTTTTGGCCAACCGAGAATAATACCTTCATGTGTAGAATTCAGTGTTCCCTAATGCTGTATAAATTGTTCTCAATTACAAATGAAATGAGTTTGGAAGCAGTTAAGAAATCCCTATGCCCCAGGGCCCCAGCAGTCCTAATGGGCACTGTCCTAATTCCATCTGTCCGGTGCTTTGGGGTGCCAGGCCACTGCAGAAGATGAGAGGGGGTGGGCAGGGCCAGGGCTATGTGCTCCAGGAAGCAGTCTCAGTGCTGGTTAAGGTTGGACGCTTGTAAGTAAACAGCGCGGACATTTCATTGTGCCAACCCGGAGGCTTCTTAAGGATAAAGTCCGAAGGCAGGTCAGCATGCCCTTGCCAGACTCCCAAGGGCAGTGGGCTGTGAGCAGCGAAGAAGTCCACCATGGTGGCCCCCTCTTTACAGACTGCAGGGGTCTGCAACCTTGCACAGAGCCTACCCCCTGAAGGCTGCCACTGCCTTCCCGGAGGGTGTGCCAAGGGGGAATAGTCCCCCAGTCTCCTGGTCTTCACTCCCCAGTGACTACGGGGCACACGTCACACAACATGTGACCAGCCCTGGCAGTGGCCTCACAGCTTTGCATCAGGACGAGAAGGAGGTTGGTGGGAGAGGACCTGGCAGGTGGTGAGGGAGCTCGGGATGCACGGCACGGGGGCCAGAGCGCCCCCGCTGGCAGGTCAGGCTCAAGCCAAGGTTGCCAAGAGCAGCCTTGGGTTTCTGGGAGGACGGGAAGGCTGAGGCCTTGCAGAAGCAGATGCTCTAGCAGGTACTTGGCCTCGAGCCGCCTCCCCTGGGATAGTCCCGAGACACGGCTCCCAGGCGCACGGGGCTCTGCAAACCCGAAAGGCCCTGGCGGTTGTGAACACACTGCCCGTGGGTTTCGGCCACGTGTAAACTTCGTCACGTAGCTGTTGCTACATTAATTTGCCAAGAGCCCAGACTGGGCAGGCACCCAGCTGCCTCAGTGGAGTGGGCCCAAGTCAGGGGCCGGGCTCTCGGGCCGGGCCTCGCTCCGCCTTCAGCCCAGATGGCCTGTGCCAGCAACAGGCTCCTGGAGCCCCAGCTCGGGCCCCTCCCCAGCCCCGCTCCGGGCAGCGCAGGGAGCGTCAGCGTCTCACGGCGACCAGCCCTGCCTGTTGCTCGCGAAGGGGCGCGTCGTGGGCTGCGGGGGCGAGGCCGCGGGTGGCCGGAGTGCGCGTCGGGCCGCCGTGCCTGTTGGCTGCATTTGGGGATTTCGTAGGGAGAGGGGCGAGGGCGCCGAGGCGGCAGGGTGGCGCGCTGCTCCCTCGCGGCGGCTGGAAGCCGGTCCTGCCGCCCGGAACCCCGGCTCGGCCCCGGACGCCGGACACACAATCTCTGGAGCTCGGGGCACGGCGACCGCGGGGCGGCGGCCGGTCAGGCGCAGGGAGCC